CCCCCCCCCCCAACCCTTTTCTTATTTTGTAAAGTTTAATGAAAAATAAGAACTAAAGACGATGATATTTAAAAAAGAAAAGATAGCCTTTTTTATTTTTCAAAAAGATGGGTATGATAAAGGCTTCTCGTGCATATGAGCCTTTATTGGAAAAAATTGCTTTAAATTAACAAAATTAAATTTTACGACGAAATACACGGACTAAGAAGGAAGTAGTGAAGCATCAGTGGTATTACTATTGATCGTGTGAAAGCGTCCTGAGAAATATTTAAATTAAAATTTAAAAAAAAAAAACTTGAACCACTAGATATTTTTTTACAAAGAAGTCAAAAAGGTGCAATACTGTACTGTACTTCATTCTCCTGTACATCTCTGAATATATTCACAGGGCAAGGCAAGGCTGGTGTTGCCTGAACCACGCTGAAATGAAGCATCCTTTTGAACTGTTGGATTTATCAAAAATTTAACATCCATTCCAGGTTCACATTAAAATGCTTCTGTCATAAACCAGATTCATGAGCCCAAAAAGCATCTGGATCCGGACAAAATAGAGAAAAATCTTGAATTTCTAAATTCGCTATGTGCCAATTCACAAAACGGGCCTGTACCGACTTGAATAGAAAAAGGATAATAGGCAAAAGCCAGCATTTATCATCTTCCCTGCAAGAGAATCTTATGTACTTAGACTTTAAAATAAAGAACACCAAGAAGTAGTTAACCAAAAATAAATAAATAAATACCAATAAGACCCATAGGCGAGTAAGCAACTAAAATTTATAATAAGCACAGAAAAATCATCAAAACCAGCTAAAATTAGTATAGCGGCATAGGGTTCCATTCTTAATAGTAACTGCCATAAAACAAATGGCATTATTCAGGGTGTTTCTTTCAGACTAATTGTCACACTTCCAGGGGATGGCACTTGTATCAGGTTTTGGTAAGACATTTGTAGGACATACCTCTTTGCTAGAGGCCTTTCCAGAACTCTAAATCGTTCTACCTTACATGATTGTCACATTAAGAATATTTTCACTTTGAATACATATAACCAAAAATCCTTTGCAAAACCAATCTCCTATATTAATGTTGAAAGATTGTACCTGGGATGAACTCCGTGGAAAGAGGCAGTACAATGATTAAGCAGAATTCAATTATGAAGTAAATCAGATGGGCTAACACTATAATCATGCCTCGTGGATATTATAATGTTATACTCAGAATTTGGGCAGGTTGAACTCAAACTTATCGTATTTTTAATTGATGTGAGATTTCAATACACCGCCTCACTCCAAATAACCACCCCCTTACACTTAGGAATAGACATCTAGAGTGTAGACAAATACAAGTAGCCAATAACATAACTAGGATAGACTCTCGTATCTTTCAAAAATTTAAGTTTAGAGCCTAACATAACCTCACAAAACTTGCTAATAAGATGAAGATTGCTCAAGTCTTAAAAGGACTACATTGGACATATCTTTAGTTGATGAGAGACCTCAACACATATTATTCTTTAGGGTTGATATTTTACTGTACTGTTACAGAAGTAAATTTAAACAGGTTTTAATACCAATTTGATCCCTATAATTTCATTAACTTTGCCTCCTATAGTTGAAGATATTCCCATTTTTGTCTTTATACATACTATTTTTTTAACTATTAATCTTTGTCATCTATTTATCATAGAGATTTAAAGTTTACAAAACTATAGAAACTAAAAGGAAACAAAAACAATATGAATAGGAACTAAAATAAAATGTTTTAACTATAAAAACTAAAAGACAAAGTTTATGAAACTATAGGGATAAAATGAGTATTTAAACCTTAAACAAAAAATGCAAGTTGTTTGTAATATAATATAATGCAATTATTGTTTGAGATATTGATGCAATTTAAAAGTTGACAACCTTACCTCTTTATATTACGTGTACTTGTCTCGTCAGGGTGGTGAAAGTGGGATAATGCATAATGAAGGAGACAACAAATAAAAGCCACTCCCTACACAAGTACATACACACACAAGTGTTAGATAAAAGCATCAAATATAGTTCAAATGGTTGCATAATTGTATGGATCTTAAAAAGTTAAAAATTCAATATGCCCAGAGTTCCATAACTGTTTTCCCTCAACCTGCAATAGTATGTTACAGGGCCTTGCAAATTCTGAAGTTCAAGGTAATTTTCTTGGCATTATAGGGCTCTACTAATCGGTTTCTGTAAGGGGCATCATTAATATTCAGATAGATCGGAGGCTTTAATGTTTTAGAAGCAAAATGTATCATGATTTCTAGTGTTAGTAAAAAATTGGGAAGAATTATTGTATTGGACATTGCATACAGACTAAACAAAATAAAAATAAAAAAATAAATCCTTATATCTCAAAATTAAATAATACTTTTCCACTGAATATAGTATTTTTCAAATAAAAAAGTGTTACTGTTTAAAACAATCCTCATTAGCAACTTTGATATATTTTAGCAAGGAAAAATGTTGTATCGTCCGAAAAGAGAAGCCGAAATTTCATCTGAATAATTAAAAAATTATTATTTTGTAATAAATTTATTAAAAAATAATAATTTTTTAATTATTCGGACGAAATTTCGGCTTCCATTTCGGACATTGTAGCAATGCTCTTTAGCAAGTCATTGCCTTTTAGTCACTAGAGCTTTTTGAAATGTTTTAACAGTATCTTTCAGTAATTACCTCTTTACAATATTTATTTATATAGCAGGTTGCTCACTACAAAGCCAATTGAGGTAGTATACAGTCAAAGGTTGAATAAGAAAATTTGAGAATTCCAGACTATTTTGGACGCTTGTACCTATTATACATTTATACTTGAAATTGAAATTTAGAATAACAACATTAAAGCTATGCATCATAAGCATGACAGGGCAATTTGCTGCAAGCAACTGATAATGAAATGCTTATTATAAAACTCAGTTTTTTAAGGTCCAATAAGCTCCGAATATATTATAATTGAAAGGCACGTTTGCCACTTATTTGTACAAGGAACAGTCATACTAGATGGTATCACAATATAGACAGAACTTACAATATTAGATAAAGAAGTAGCATTCCACAGTGCATATACTCGAGAAAGTGAAGCTTTTCTAGGTTCTTTACTGAATAATGCATTCAGACCGGCTGGAAATGGAGAAAGTAGAGAAAGAGGAAGAATTAGAAGAACTGAAAGAAAAGCTGCAAGAGATATCCAGTAGAACTGAAGCAACATGAGAAGAGTGACAGAGAGATCTGCTAAAAGCATCAAAGTAATCAGCAACTGTACAGTATCCTGAAACAAAGATGTCATGTATTAGACAATGTTCAATTTATAGTTATGGAAAGGTGAAGCACCTAAAATAATTTAGCTACCTGACGACCAACAGGTCTAGTGTTGCACAAGAGCAGAGAAAGTGGGAATAGAAAGTCCCTTTTAAAGTCCAATGATTTCAAGGTAGCATCATTTATTAGGCCACCATTAATTCCTCCAGTTATCCTTTTAAGAGATAATGAATTGCTCATGTATGGCCAACTATGCTGCAGCTGCTTAAGATTTTTTCTTCCATGTGCCACGTTTTTCCTGTCATAAGCAATATAAAAAAACTTTTTAAGCCTAATACACAAGGGAATAAAAACAAACTCTGTTAATCTTCATCTAGGAGGTATTAAAACAAACAATATCAAGGAACCATGAAACTTGAAGGCTAAAAGCAAAGAATTAGTAATGGTTTTGCACCGCCAACATGTCTCCTGGTAAGAGAATCTGCTAAGCGGCAACAAATAAGAACATCATACATTGTGCTGGATCTCAATATCAACTTAAGCACGGGAAGCAAGAATCAAATCCAAACACATTTGTATCATATCAAAGAAAAATACAAGCTAAGTTTCTAAGCTACTATGCAAGGACCCAAGAATAAACTTTTTGCAACTTCTTTCTAATCCATCAAATCTAATCAGATCAAAATTCTAAAACCAAGTATAATGAATTATCATCACTGTTATATAAGGAGTAGCAACAGTCATGAACAACATCAGGTTTAACTGTTTTTAACAATTACCTGTTCGGTTTAAGAATGTATTTTCTGTTTACTGATGATTACTAAAAAACGTTTTTAGTTTGCATCATGTTTCCAAAGACTTGTACAAAAAAATGGTCAAAACCACAATATCAGTGAAAACAAGGTGATATATTAGTTATTATTAATAAAAACAGAAAATGAAAACAAAAATATATTTCCTTCAACTGATTTCCCATCATTTTGAATAGCACCAACTTCTTTCCAATAACATTTCCCAAGTGAAACCCATTAACCAACATTCATTTTGATATTATTTGGTTTCAATTGGCATTATCAATTCTCATCGGACAAAATAAAATTATTGTTCCCAATTCCTGCCATGTTAATAGGATTAATCAGAAGAAAACAAAGGCTATGGTCTATATGTATACAGCATTTGATCAGGATCATAAATTACCTCATAACTTCATCAGCACCTGCCCAAGTATCAGACTGGTGCAACTCAAGAAGTGAATAATCCCCAACTGCTACCACGATTCCAAGCTGATAGTAACCAGAAGCTGTTGCTTGGAACCATCCAAGCTCAATTTTAACTCCATGGAACTCAAGTTGTGGGTTTGCATGGCTATTTATCCAAACAACAACAGGACCAAGTGCAGTACGAATTGACCCATGCCTCACTGTCCGTAACTGAGCATTCAGTCCAGCTACCAAACGATTCCAAACAGTTGCTGGGACATGCTGCAGATATCATGTTTGGGGTTAGTATGTCAGCTACGTATAGAGAAAACATAATTGACTAAAATATTAACAACATTAACAAGCTGTCAAAAAAAATACAACAATAACAATTTAGATACCTGACCAAGGAGGTTGGTCAACAGTGTATCATTGTGAAGATTATAAGGTGCCATGTAACTCCCATCCCCACCAAAAATTATGCACATGGGAAATCTCTTCTGTATAATTGATACAATGTCTAATCGCTTCTCATCACCACCAAGGAAAAAATCAATGTATGCTACCATTAAATCTGGAGTTGCCCCAACCTGCATCATTTGTTTCTCAAATTAGAGAGATTAAAGAGAATGACACTGCATCATTTAACACTGGAAACCTCTGTTGAAAGGTCTTAGATTCTAATACAGGGAAGGGAAAACAGAAAAGTTGCAAATTGGACATGCATGTGTGCTATACTTTTATATAACATGTATAAATAAAATTAATACCGATGCTTATATCACATTATTTTGCTTTTGTGAGCAAATACAGAAATGAAATCTGATAAACATAAGAACATCTTCTGAACTATTATATAGCCATGTTGTAACTTGCCAGATGAATATAAAAGCACCTATTGCTTCTAGGAACTCTGAATAATCCCTGAGAAATAACCAAAAGAAAGCTTCCTGGTATTTACACTACTAATCAAAACACAATTCTTATGTCTAGGGAGCAAGGAATCTTATTTTAGAAGCTGAAACATTTTGTGATTACAATTAAGGGTGAGTACAATACATTAGCTCAAATTTCTATTATCGTGCTTCTATGGTGGTTGTACTCAGAACATATGCCATTCAGATGTTTTTATATAAATTTAGGAGTATTTTAATATTTTTATTTTTTCTTAATTCTCTATTGGTCAGGCCAAGTCTACAGCTATTATTTGGATAGGATTTTTATTCAGAAGTGTCTCTTAATTAAGTGGGGAACCCTAATTGTCTGCAAATCACCCTTATCCTGACACACTCCTAAGAAACCTTCAGGCTGCATATTTATTACTACTGATACCCATAGGAAAACCCTAAATGTGACATGTTTAAATCCTACGGCTACTGCTGTGCTGCCATACATCATCTTTCTAGTGACTTCTTATTAGAAGAATAATTATATTAACAAAAGTAACTAACTAGGAATTTATGAAAATTACTCCATCATGTTAAATGCTTTGCAAGTCAAACCTTCATCCCTTTGTACAAAGCACGTGACCGACAGGAGCGTAGACAAGAATGGTCATATTCAGACTTGACATATTCCTGAAGGCGGCTAATTTTGACCCTCCGCCGCCAATGCTTCCAGGACCAAGCACAAGGATATGCAACAACTGAAAGTATACTGTGCACTGATCCCTCCCACCAATCATATGCAGCGACTGAGTTGATTTCATCAATAAATCTATTAAAAGCATCCTCATACCTGCATCACAGTTGGATCAAATCTAACTCAATCATAATTATTATTAGAGTAGTAATATAAAGTTAGTCCTAAAAGTTTATGCTAAAAGGTGAAAACATAAATGGTCTTATCTTACATCTATATAAAATTTATATCTAACAATTATGATATATAGTCATATGATCTTAGATTAGAATGCTAACTGGGTTTCTTAATATGTGCAGATGCTTGATGTAGAATTTTTATTTACCTAGACGTTTTTTTACAATAGAAACTACTAATAGGAAAAAGAGAGAGAGAGAGAGAGAGAGAGAGAGAGAGAGAGAGAGAGATTTGATGGTAAATATAAAAAGTACAATATGATATGCTCAATCTAAATGGATACAGTTAACAAGTAGGTGTGATTTTCAGTTACACCAAAGATTGATGATTTCAATGAATCTAAATGGATACAATTGATAACTAGGTGTGATTTTCAGTTGCATCAAAGATCGATGATTTCAACCAATATAAATGGATAATGTTAACAAGTAGGTTTGTTTTTTCAGTAAAACTGGAGATTAATGATTTAAACTAAAATAGTTTCCAGTATTTATAGCACATAGCCTCACGTATAAGGCAAAATGACATCAGAATCCATGACATGAATGAATGAATATGTAGTTTCTCTTACACAATTTCAATTATAGCATGGGGAGGTGAGTAAGGAAGATGCCAGGGCTCTCTAAAAGTATTAGGACCCATAAAGTACATTCTATGTACATGGCTTTGAGTCTCTTCAGCTCTAGCTCCACGGACCTAGTTTTCAAACAACAAAACATAATGCATCAAAAGTTTCTGAGATAATGTGTTAAGGCTCAATTAATGCGGCAGAAAGAACTAATTAAACAGTGGAAAATTTCTTATCAGAATATACCTCAGAAAGCGAAAGAAGATACGGAAAACGGTGATGATTATGGTGTTCAATTGAACTTGAACTGTGATATGAACCAGAGCCGATCAATTTGATTCTTAAAGTACTAATTAGGACAGCCAAAAGCAATAAAATGAATGACAATACTACTGAAAATGGCCAGGGACCACCAAATGTATAAATGAGCTCCTCTAGAGGTGTATAACAATTGGGCATTCGATATTTGTCTGATATACATTGATATGGACAAGACCGTCTTGTAACACCCCCTGCAATGAAAAGAACCATCCTAAAAATTTGAGATAGACCGTAGTGTTAGGCATGTAAGGCAAAGTTATATCCTCAAAGGTACCTCGTTTATATATGAAATTTGCACGATTTGGAAGAAGATCAAGAGGACAAGGAATGCAAAGATGTTCATCAGAACCATCAACATCTTTGTAAGTACCAATAGGACATTCCTGTAAAATCACTTGCACAGTTTAATAAATCTTCAGAACTAAACATCCAGTGCAGGTACAAGAATTATTAGATTTGTGATAGAACTCGTTCAAAATCTAAAGGAAAGAATGAGTTTAATTGATGAACCCGAAATCCCAATTGTTATGCCAAAGTGGTAGAAACCTTAAGCTAAATGAATGATTTCCTTTGATATTTGAGAGGCCAGGACTCTCCCCAGTCCCCACTAAGAGTCTAATCCTTTCTCAAATGATAAGATGATCTATCTCTCCTTATAGGCATCTAGCCTTATTCAGACTATCTAACCAACTCAACAATGTAACTAACTAATGGGAAACTAGCCAAACTAACTGCTAATGGGGTTACCTAACAATTTGCAGAGTTTGGGATGCCCTACAGCATTCCTTGTTTACGTTGTTCTGTTTTGTTTCTCCTCAGCTCTTGAGAATTGAAAAAGCTCCTCTAAAACTCTTATTTCTAAAGTGTATGAGTAAGAGTGCATCGTCCATTAATTAAAATTAGAGTGTCTCATGAACTTATCGTCTTAACCCACTTTAAATTATACCTTCAAATTATCTAATATTCATTACCCCAAGGTACTTATCCACTTTTTAATAATACTTGTTTTTCCATCCAGACAAAGGAAACAAATTATGAAAAAGGCAAACAGCTTAAATGCAGTAATATTTTATATTACAAACAGATACCAACAAGACCAGAGAAGCCAGAAGCAGACATGTAAATTACTCCATCCTTCCCATTTCTTTAGTGGTTTAAGGTTAATGCACATAGATTAAGAATTAATATAAATATATGTGTATATATATATATATTTGGACAAGAAAGCGCTTATCTAATATCCCATCAATAAGATTAATACTAATATGCTCATTGGTTGCATAGCCCACACTCAAGTAAAAATAAGTGAGTAGTTGGTGGAAAGATAGGTACATATCTCCACCATTGAATGAGACGAAAAAAAGGAAAAGAAACTACGGGAACAAACCTCGCAGAAAATTCCATAAAGGCCTTTAGGGCATGCTTTCCCAGTTATGGTGCCCTCCTGTCCATGATGGCCATTATTGTCCCCAGCACCTCCACTGTTTAAAATCATGAAGAAAGAGATGCTGTTTCTCAGCAAAGTTTATTTAAAAAAAATATACATTATAATATTTTCACAATAGTGATGAATTTATTTACAATTATCTTTCAACCTTCAAGTTCCTTAAAAAAGAAAGCCCTCAATTTGGTCCTCCAAAAATTATGAGCTGCCACATTAGTCCTCTAACTACAGAAGTAGTATTTTGGCCCAAGAAAATGCAGTAATAATCTATTATGTTCCAATTCTAAAGCCATTAGCAGAGATATGATTATGCATACCTGTTATTCATGGTTCCACTAACACTTGCAACAGGAACATATTCTTCCTCCATACCAATTTTTGACCAATGGAAATGAATTCGACCTCCACCTCCACCACCACCACCAACAGGGCCACCATTGCCCCCAACAACAGACAAGGATGAATTCTCCAAGAGCCTAAGTTCTTGAAGGAAAAGAAGGACTGTTCCACCAGAACCTCCACCAAGACCCCCAACCAAAGAACCATCACTGCTTGCTATTGATTGGTTAAAGCTTTCACCATCAGCCCTCAAGGATCCATAAAGGTCAAGTCTCAAAAGTGGCCACTGAATGGATCCCATCACTAGCCAAAATTAAACAAAAAATTACAGTGATCAGAGAATATCATTAAAAAATAAATAGATGTTTCCCTTCATATAACAAATAGAGGCACAAACAGATATAGCATTTATAGTCATCTGCATCCATGTTGATAGCCAAAAATAAACTTGGGAGTATACTTTACATGAATGATGAAACATATAAAGTCAAAGGTGTTTAAAAAAATTACCAATCATCCCGCCTCCAACAACATGCCCATATGACTCATTAGGGCCATCAGTTCCACTACCCAATTCACATGGAAGAATAGCATTTCCATATTCACTACCACCAACACTCTCTCTCCCATTGAAATATCCAGATCCTCCTTTTCCACCATGTCCAGCACCACCACCAGCTCCATTAAAAAAGTTTCCCTTACCAATACCTTCAGTGCAACCTGAAAAAGATCCCTATCTAATCAAAATCTCAAAACTGTACAATTCTTTTGCGGTAATTAGCATTTTTACTAGCAAGGTAAACTTGGAACAGCAGAAAGTAGAAAAATCATTAAAAAAAAAGGTTTCTTAAACATTTTAATTACCTAATTCAGATGCAGTAATAATACCATCAGTATCGATAATCACAGTTCTTGCCCTGTGAATATGAATTATGCTTCCCTTCATAATGCCATTTACAAGAAGATCCTCAACACGACAAATCTGCAAAAACTCAGAAGAATCCACCAAATGGTCAACTTGAACAAAAATATTTTGTTCTTCTTAAGTACACCCAACCACTAAACAATGCCCAACAAAAGAAGTTGATTGAATTGGAAATGATGGTGGCAATGATAGAAATATGTTATTCTCCAATCTCATGTCATAACCACACATTAAAGATACACAAATATATGTACCAAATATAACATGAATAAAACCAATATTGAGTCAAATAGTTATGCCTACCAAAAAGAATTTATTTTTCAAAAAAATAGATAATTGCATTAAATGCAACAAAAGGAGGGTGGGGTAAAAATTGGTTCGAACTTAGTTCCCAGAAAAAAATTAGGTACCAAAAATAGGCAAGAGTTTCACTTTTTAAAATGAAATGCATCTAAAAATACCACCTTTCATATTACTTAACAAATCTTACTTGAAGTGAGAAGGAGAGAGTATAATTGACATGACAATCATCAGGTGGAGTTATCAAATCTATTGGGCATCTCTGTGTGTCACAGAGATGTTTTGTCACCCTACAAACATTAAATAAAAAAAATGGATTAAGTTTAGAGTTTCCAAGCAGGCCAAATGGAAATTTAGGTCAAGCAATACGACTAGAAAGCAGTCATACTCATACTTACGTGCCTCTACTAGCATCATCATCCAAAGGAGCTTGAAGTAAAGAACCTGGACCAACCTGTCACAAGAGGACCAATGTCACTTGAAATGAAGCACCCAAAATTTGAGAAACAGTGAGATATCACAAAGATATGATACAGATTTACTTGACTTTGTTCTTATTTATATCAGATTTTATTTGTATTTAATTATTTATGTAGATAGCATATTTTTAAGAGACATTTTCTACATTATGTAAATTCTAAGAGAGCATATTTTTAAGAGACCTTTTCTACATTATGTAAATTCTAAGATAGCATATTTGATTATTATTAATTCTCACCTTACAAGTTGATTTTGTGAGGTTAAGTTCTAAGATAAATTTTAAGATGACACCCTAGATCCATTATCAGGTCACCAATTTTTGTCTATGCTCTAGATGTCTATTCCTATGCATGAGGGGATGTTATTATTGGGCTATCTGCTACTTGTCCACACTTTAGATGTCTAGTCTAGGACGTGGCATGTCCCATGAGGGGGGTGTTCAAATTTCACATCAACTAAAGATATGGTCAATTTACTCCTTATAAGACTTGGACAGCCCTCACCTTTAAAGCCAGTTTTATGGGGTTAACTAAAGTTCTAAGCCCAAATTCTAAGATGGTATTACAATATATCCTAGATCCGTTCTTAGGACATTTGTATTTGTCTATGCTTTATGGGTCCATTCTTTGGTGTAAGAGGGTATTTTTGTTGGGTCATTCACATTTTTCCACAATCCAAATGTTCAATTCTAGGCATGAAGGGGTTGAGACCTCACACCACACCAACACCAGATATGGTTAATATAGTCCTTATAAAGCTTGAACAGTCCTCCCTTTATAAGTTAATTTTGAGGGGTTGAGTTAGAACCAAAGCATAAATTCTAAGATAACCAAATTGTAAACCAAAATCAGTTGAAGAATTAAAGCCTCAGAAAGAGAACAGCTATAGAACACATGCATTGCATGAAAAAACCAGTGTTCAAATTCATCTACACTGTATCTATGTAGATATTTGCTTCCACTCTGCCAGCAAAATGATCAAAAGAATATATTGTAAAATTTCATCTTAAAACCAATTGGCATCAAGTGAAGTTGCCCAATAGATACTCCCTCCGTTTTTTATTCATAATCGTTTCAGCATTATTTTTTTGTTTTTTTTCATTGTCACTTTTCTAAAATCAATGACTTATTAATTTTCTTTTTCATTTTTACCCTTGATAATTAATGTATGTTTACTGAACAATGTGTTTATTTATTTTTAATGTACTTATTTCTTCTCTAACCACCTAAAGGATATACCAGGAAAATAAGTAATATATACTTTGAAAAACTAAAATATCAATCATTTTCTTAATTCTTGTGCATAAACCTTAAACGTCAAACAAACAAAAAATGGAGGGAGTATATAAGTCACACCCCAAGAATTGAGGCAAGTAATGTGAGACTTCACAGCATATATTGCTTCAATCAACTATTTTGGTATTATCATCCCTGCATAAGGGAGTTCCCTAAAAATCATTTAAATCTCTTGTAACCACCTTAAAAATATAAAACTACAAAATTTCTTGTAAAGATAATTGCTTACAGTTACATTATAGAAGAGAGACAAAGATATTCTCTGGCCTTTGATTGCATCACCATCACCAGTCAATTGTAGCAGTCCTTGACCATATAAAGCCAGGTTTGTATTTGAACTAATGACAGAATTTTGCTGCAAAGGCAAGAAATCACAATCACAACGAAAACTCCAACCCACCAAGAACAAGATATGGTTCTATAACCAAGAATACTGCATAACTTTGAATAAAGAATAAAGGCTATTATACCCTTAAAACAGCCAGATTTCTCACTTCAAGTACTGAAGCAGTCACAACAGTACTTTCACCACCATCAATTTGGATTGTGGAGTTCCACATGAGTAACATTTTAACAGAAACTCTAAATGCACCAAAAACCTTCATATATTAAAGGTAAAATTGTTAAATTACAAGATGATTCTATAATTCAAAGAAATAGTAGTTCAAAATTAAGTGACATCTATATGGATCGAGCATGGAACTAAAATTATAACAGAAAAACACTGAGTCACAATCCAGTACCTTTATGATAGAATCACTCAATAAAAGCTCTTCTGCAACAAGCTCAAACTCAGAAATTGGATAGTCAGACAAACCAAAGATTAAGCTTCCTCCACTGTATACACTAATTTGGCCTCTTACCTTCATAATTAGAGAATTCAAACAAATATCAAACATTTGGCTTCAGTTCAACGGTTAAACGTTGCAATGATTAATAAAGAAAAATATAAAATATATCACTGAAATTGTTTTTGAAGACAAAAACAAAAAGTAATATTACAAGAAATAAACTTCAGGCAACATCTATTTATTTTTATCCTTCCTGCAAGAAGACTTCATTGCTATAAAGATAGGCACTTGCATATATGACAGTATGAGAACCCCCCTTGTAGTGCATGCATTTACAATTTGTAAGAGTAATTTGTTAAACATGAATGTCATGATGTGCTCATAATATGAAACATTCAGAAAATTTAAGCAGGATCCAGCTCATATCAAGTGGCTAACAAGGAATGTGAGTAACCTGTATGCATAAGTAAGATTGCTCAAATTGGAAGATATGTTTCTGATAGAGGTATATGATATCAGGAAGATGGCTATCAGCAAAGGAGGTTTAAAAGAAGAGATATAACACCTATGTCTACATTACCATCATAACAAGATGTGGGGAAATATATGTAACTTCCAAATACTTTATAGTCAAATTCAAATGTAATGCATTAAAACAGAAATAGAATGAATAATTAACTTCCTAGACTTCAAGCCCAAAAAAGAGGGGAGCAGTATACATAATATATGATTGTATAGAGACAAAAACATGAACATGAGCTTTCCAGCTAATTCATAATTTCATATATCCTTCTCACATCAGTTGGGAGTAATTAAATGGGAAACAGGACACAAGTATTACATGCTGAAATAGTGCCATTAATATCATTATTAAAGGCAACAAAAAAGTAAAAAGGTAACACTTAAAAAGACTATTTCCTAGGTACTTAGCTGGCTGGATGTTTATACAGCTTATGATTACAAAACAGAATTTTCTGAATTGCTTGATTAAACAAAACTCAGCAGGCTGGGTATAAATACAGTTTATGATTACAAGATAATAAAAATACTACTTCCTAGGTACATGAATGATATAGCCTACTTACAAGAATCCACTATTTCCTGGGAATATGAATGATACAAGGAACTAGGAAAATAATTACAACAATTAGTGCTACCAAAAGAAGACTTTCGTAAACAGATAATGGATTCTATAAATGTCCGAACAATAAAATGCTTCAGCAGATCAAACTGTTATGAAGGTAGTTCTCTATCATATAAAGAATTTTCTGAAACATATGTAATATAAAAGAAGAAAAAAAAGTTATAAAATGGTGAGCCCATGATCATGTGTTTGTTGGTATAGTACATAATGTGTATAATTTGCTACCTGAACTCTCGACCACACAAGCGGAACCAAAACTTTTGCATTATTTTCCACATAAACATTTGACCATAAAGGGCTGGTTGAGAAGTCAAGCAAAGGAGTCTCTGTTTCTGTTGTGACATTGTCATTGCTAACTTTCAAACTTAGTAAATGTGCATTGAAATATGTGCCAGCTGCTCCAGAATTTCCAGGACAGCCAATACTCAAACCTCCTGTCACAACAAATGCATGTATAGCATATAAGCTCCTTCATGCAATCCAGATTAAAAAAGGCACCCTTGTATGTTACTTGATTTGGAAAGAATGAAGATACAACTACAACAATGTCAACCAACTTTTTTTAATTAAAAGAAGAATCTAAGATCATCAAATGCATAGTCTCAACACCACCAAAAAAGTTTAGACTGCAATAAAAAAATGTTAGCATCCTACATTACTAGGGAATTGAGACCAAAAGTAGTTAATAAACATCTTTTCCCCTTAACTCATCGTGAGGCCCCCAAAGATGCCAAGCAAATATTACCTCCAACACAATGAGCCTAAAATGCAGCAGACTTGAAGTTGGAACAGAAGCCAATCAAATAAAAATGAAGTTTAATCAGAAATAATAATGGATAGATTCCAGAATCTAAATCAGGTGAACAACCTTTCAGAAAAACTTCAAAATTCCATGAAAAACCTGAAGTTGAGAGATTTTGTTGCTGAATTGGTTCTGGACACCATCCTTAAAAGTAATAACTTAAACAGGACAAGTTTCTTGATTAAAAGTGAATGTTTTCCTTTTCAATGATGCACATATCACACTGTAGCCTGTAGGTATGTTAGTATTATACAACTCTCTTTTCCTTTTTCCTCTATAGAAGAAGGTATCACATCCTTACCTATGCTCATTTTTAAATATGAGTTAATTATCTATACACTGTCAGTGTAAAGTTTTTTTACACTAGCAACTAATCATATCTTTTAATAGTGACATGTCAGTTGCTTATTTAATGAAATAATAATAAAATAAGCAACTTTAAAATATATGATTGGTTGCCAGTGTAAAAAACTTTACACTGGCAGTATAGGGATGATTAACTGTTTAAATATAAAAAATGGTTTTTTGCCTATGCTCAAATTGAAAGCTGAACGTTTATTTGTTCAGAATACGATATTTTTTCATTTTTTGGGTATTCTGATTCGTTTAGATTAAGCTTAACACCCTTACAGTAGAAAAAAAGATCAAGGAGTCATCATTGGCTTAACTACCAATGTAATGGAGTGTATTAGAACTAACCGTGAACAGTAATGTTTAAATCTTCTTGTATGCTGTAACAATCAAGTGATATTCTTCCTCCACCTCCTCCACCCCATCCTGTCCCACCAGCAGCACTGATGGTACCATATCCCTTCCTACACTCAACAAGAAAAAAATAAAGTTGAAAAGAAAAGTTACAAACACAATTCACTAGATAACACGTATTAGTTCCCTACAAAACCTTCAATATAGACAAGGCACTTTTAAAAACTATAAACAACTCAAAAACCTTCAAGAAACACATTTCCAAAAGCCTCTGCATTCTTCAAAGAGCAAATGAATACTACCATGCAATTTAAATGACAGTGGGCCAAATGCCTAAGAAGATCCATGTAAAGAGAATATTGGACAATATGTCATCATCAATAAAAAATAATAAACACACACACACACACACAATTCTCTGCCAGTAATATCATCAAAAAACTTACAAATGTCAGCTAATTGTCTCCAGTCTCAACATCTAAATTTCAAAACCATTTAATGTGTGATAAAACTTTTAGTTATATGGTTAATAGAAGTGGCTTAATATGCCAAAAAACAAAACTGCATTTCACTCTTCAATTAATAGCTACAGGCACCCTTAACAGTCAATTAACAGCCATCATATGAAAAACAGGTATAAGTTCAGACTAACAAGTAATTCATACTCACAGCTTTAAAGCATGAACCAATATACTTCCACCAGAACCACCTCCGCCATCAGACCCTCCATCTCCTCCTTCTGCAGTAATTGATCCATTTACATATAAAGTGTCCTTCACTAGAAGCTTAACACGCCCCCCACCATTCCCTCCGTATTTCTTGATAGTAGATTTTCCACCACCCTTGCTCCCATAACTCCATGGTTCAGACAATGTAGACCAAGCATAAACATCACCACCCCAGTTTGTCTTGTTATTTTTTAAACATGATGCACCACGCCCACCATGCCCTCCACCAGCTCCATCGTTGCCAACAGGTGTGCCACTAGTTTGGGAAGGTGGTGATCCACCCAAAGATGATGAGTCTATATAAGAATTGTATCCCATTGTCAGATTGGCTGCAGATAGAACCACAGAACCAGCAACAATAGATGCATTTTGACCAAGCTTAATGTTGCCAGACACATTGACTGTTATCATGCACCCTTCCACGGGACATAAGAGTGAAACATCAGAGAGTATCTCCAGGTTTCCAACACCATAAATGTGAATATCAGATTTTAAATAATGAGTTGAGCTTAGCAAGCACGTGGTATTAAAAGATCCTACACCTTCCAAGTCCTCACAAGAAACTGACTCATTCAATAGGAATGATGAAGTTGATGTTTCAACAAATGCAGAATCATGGAGTTGAGAACCAACTCCCACAAGTGACCCAGAATAACCCAGCCAGTTTTCTAAGCCAGTACTCGTATTCAAGTGATGTCCTGAACTAAGAGAAATACAAGATACATGAAGATATCCTAAAAGAATGCAGCACCAGAGGTTCCAATGCATTACCACAAAGTGCATCACCACCTATGCCAAGTATATTCAGTAGAAATCAGAATAAATGTAAAGTTTCAATCAGCTCAGCTGAAATTATCAATAAATTTATTTCTCAACGCTACCTCCATAGAGACTGGTCCTCGAGGAAGCCACTTTTATACATTTATTCTGCAACTAAAATACAAAGAAAATATCAATAAATAATGAAAACAGGAAGATAGAGTACTTTAACTTTTATACTTTTACATACATCATAGCTTAAATTAGGGATTACTTATTAAGCTCTATCTACATACAGAAGCCAAGTATCATGAAGCAGCTAAAGTGGTATATAGAAGCTAGTAAAAGTAGTTAGATTCTTAATGTTCACAAAGGAAATTATATTATACTTCAGAAATTTCACTGAGAAACTTTTCCAACAAAGAAATTTGCTAGCAATCCATGGAATTAAATATCTAATGAAAAATGATAAACGGTATCACTGCACTCAAGCCTCATAAGAGTATGTGCAGGCCAATTATATTATTTAAGGCACACAAAGACACATA